TACAAGATCTCTGTCAAGCTTTCTTACAACTACAATACCCACCTGCAGAAGTAAAGAAACAGATTGATAGAGCCAGAAGAGTTCCCAGAAGTTACCTACTACAGGACAGGCCTAACAAAGAAAATAACAGAACGCCACTAGCCGTCACCTTCAGCCCCCAACTAAAACCCCTCCAACGCATTATTAAGGATCTACAACCTATCCTAAAGGATGACCCTACACTCTCACAAGTCTTGGGAGACAGGCCAGTCCTTGCCTACAGACAGCCCCGCAACCTGAAGCAAATACTCACCAACAACCACATACTACCCAACAGAACCACTAACCCAGGAACTTATCCTTGCAACAAAGCCCGTTGCCAATTGTGCCCACATATCTATTCAGGGGACACCATCACAGGGCCTAATAACATCAGCCACACTATCAGAGGCTCGTTCACCTGCACATCCACCAATGTGATATATGCCATCATGTGCCAGCAATGCCCCTCTGCCATGTACATTGGTCAAACTGGACAGTCTCTACGTAAAAGAATAAATGGACACAAATCAGATGTCAAGAATTATAACATTCATAAACCAGTCGGAGAACACTTCAATCTCTCTGGTCACGCAATCACAGACATGAAGGTCGCTATCTTAAAACAAAAAAACTTCAAATCCAGACTCCAGCGAGAAACTGCTGAATTGGAATTCATTTGCAAATTGGATACTATTAATTTAGGCTTAAATAGAGACTGGGAGTGGCTAAGTCATTATGCAAGGTAGCCTGTTTCCTCTTTGTTTTTCCTAACCCCCCCCCCCCCCCCCCCAGATGTTCTGGTTTAACTTGGATTTAAACTTGGAGAGTGGTCAGTTTAGATGAGCTATTACCAGCAGGAGAGTGAGTTTGTGTGTGTATGGGGGTGGGGGGATGTGAGAAAACCTGGATTTGTGCAGGAAATAGCCCGACTTGATTATGTAAAGAGTTGTCACTTTGGATGGGCTAGCACCAGCAGGAGAGTGAATTTGTGTGGGGGGTGGAGGGTGAGAAAACCTGGATTTGTGCTGGAAATGGCCCAACTTGATGATCACTTTAGATAAGCTATTACCAGCAGGACAGTGGGGTGGGAGGAGGTATTGTTTCATATTCTCTGTGTGTATATAAAGTCTGCTGCAGTTTCCACGGTATGCATCTGATGAAGTGAGCTGTAGCTCACGAAAGCTCATGCTCAAATAAATTGGTTAGTCTCTAAGGTGCCACAAGTACTCCTTTTCTTTTTGCAAATACAGACTAACACGGCTGTTACTCTGAAAGAAGGCAGATATGTTAGCCCCAGGTTAAGGAGATCCCTTTTCCCTCGGTAAGGTAACAGGGAAGGTTCCAAACCAATCAGGAACTTTCTGGAAACAATTAAGGCAGACAGGCTGATTAGAACACCTACAATCAATTAAGAAACTGCTAGAATCAATTAAGGCAGGCTAATCAGGGCACCTGGGTTTAAAAAGGAGCTCGCTTCAGTTTGTAGTGTGTGTGTGTAAGGAGCTGGGAGCAAGAGGCACTAGGAGCTGAGAGTGAGAATGCGTACTGTTGGAGGACTGAGGAGTACAAGCATTATCAGACACCAGGAGGAAGGTCCTATGGTGAGGATAAAGAAGGTTTTGGGAGGAGGCCATGGGGAAGTATCCCAATAAGTTGTAGCTGTTGCACAGCTGTTCCAGGAGGCTCTCTAGACAGCTGCATTCCACAGGGCCCTGGGCTGGAACCCAGAGTAGAGGGCAGGCCCGGGTTCCCCCCAAGCCTCCCAACTCCTGGTCAGACACAGGAGAAGTTGACCTGGACTGTGGGTTCACGAAAACGATGAAACTGAGGGCTGCCGCAAATCTCCAAGGTGAGCAAATCCGCCAATAAGCGCAAGACCCACCAAGGTAGAAGAGGAACTTGGTCAGAGAGGGCACATAGTCCCTGGGGAAGGTGGGGCTTCCCCTGGAAACTGTGGATTTTCTCAGTATTTGCAATGTACCCATCACCATGGTATAACAGAACCCCATTTATCCGAGCCTTCATTATCCAGCTCTTCGTATTAACCAAACAACCAGCGCGCACACAGGATAGCATACATGAACTGTTACTTCTAGAAAAGAGCAGAAATGATAAACTCAAGCAACTGCAAAATAATAGTGTTGCTGTTGTTGCAACTTAAAATGATTATTCTGCATTTTTAAAAACTGGTACTCTTTACTGGAAGTAGCTGTTCAGATACACTGAAAATAAAAAAGGAGTGTGTGTTTTAATGCTTCTCTGGGAGGGGTCAGATAGTATAAAAGCAACTCCACATCTTAAATAATGGATAGAAAGCTCTTTGCCCATTCTCCGGATTATCTGAATTTTTGATTATTCGATCTGGACCCGGTCCCAATTAGATTGGATAATTGGGGTTCTGCTGTATGTGAGCTCCTGTCTCAAGCTATTGCTTTGCTGATTTCCTTCTAAGATATACTCTGCATTCTTTGTAGGGCATTGGTGGAGAAACCTAGTGGCCTTATGTCCAGGAGCCCGGAATACCAGAATCACTGCTGTATTACCAAACATTAACAAACCCAGTGGGAGCAGCTAGGTGCTTAGCATTTTGAAAATTGGGCCATTTATTTCAAAGCTTAAATATAGACTGAGGAGCCTAATTTAGGACAGATGAACATATCATAGAATCATAGAATCATAGAATATAAGGGTTGGAAGGGACCCCAGAAGGTCATCTAGTCCAACCCCCTGCTCAAAGCAGGACCAATTCCCAGTTAAATCATCCCAGCCAGGGCTTTGTCAAGCCTGACCTTAAAAACCTCTAAGGAAGGAGATTCTACCACCTCCCTAGGTAACGCATTCCAGTGTTTCACCACCCTCATAGTGAAAAAGTTTTTCCTAATATCCAATCTAAACCTCCCCCACTGCAGCTTGAGACCATTACTCCTCGTTCTGTCATCTGATACCATTGAGAACAGTCTAGAGCCATCCTCTTTGGAACCCCCTTTCAGGTAGTTGAAAACAGCTATCAAATCCCCCCTCATTCTTCTCTTCTGCAGACTAAACAATCCCAGCTCCCTCAGCCTCTGCTCATAACTCATGGGTTCCAGACCCCTAATCATTTTTGTTGCCCTTCGCTGGACTCTCTCCAATTTATCCACATCCTTCTTGAAGTGTGGGGCCCAAAACTGGACACAGTACTCCAGATGAGGCCTCACCAATGTTGAATAGAGGGGAACGATCACGTCCCTCGATCTGCTCGCTATGCCCCTACTTATACATCCCAAAATGCCATTGGCCTTCTTGGCAACAAGGCCTTGGCAACAATATACTTCCCCTGGATTGATAATCTTGGCCATAATTTATTAAACAGCTCATTTACATGGAAGTGAATTTTGTAACAAGGGAAGACACAGTTCAGTTACTAATGTTCTGTGATTTAATACTTTGATTCAGTATTTGTTCAGGGGGTTACCCTCTAAGACATTCATTATTAAAATACTTAACATCTAGTTAAAGGAAAAGAGAGAATGGGAGGCTGAAGGTAGGAAATGAGGGGAGTGGGAGAATGGAGGAAAGAGAGCACAGTGGAAAGGATAACAACCTAATGGAACGAGGGGGAGAGAAAGGAAGTTACAGATAGAAAGAAAATGGAATAAAATGAGAAAGGAAGGCAAAGCAAGAAAAAATAAATATCTTCGGGTTATTCTGCCAGCCGTGCACCATCATTGTAGTGTCTGGGTATTATAATTTGTATTTCATTCCTGGTGTTTAGTCAAAATGCATCCATGGGAAGAGGATACAAAATTCATACAAATGTAAATGCAAAATGGTTGTTGTGTTGGACTCTTGCGAGATGAATTTATTTTAATTGAGGTGATTTAAATCACCAAGTGGAAAGCCTCTATTTTAGTGTTTTTCAAAATTTTTGTGCTAGTGACCCCATTTGGACTTAAAATAAAATCGTGACCTCCCCACTAGAAAAAATTGCAACCCCCCTACCTTCAGCATCACCATCTGGGAGCTCATGACTGGGGCTCTGGGTCCCCTGCCACCTGTGGGGCCCCCAGCTGGGACTCTGGGCCCCCCGTGGGACTTTCTTCCCTGGCGACCCCATCAAAATGGAGTCATGACCCACTTTGGGGTCACAGCCCACAGTTTGAGACCCACTGTTCTATTTGATTCATCAATTTCAATCAGCTTTTTTATTTGTACTTCAGTTACTTTCTAAAGAAAAGTTAATTCTCATTTGCTGATATAACAATTAAAATATGTTGATTTACAACTAAATAGAGCCTTTACTCTAGACTTGGTACATCTTTTTGCTACTTAAGAGAATACACTGTTTATTTAAGCAATTATAATGCTTAATATTTTCAGATTCTTATTAATTGTACATTTTAGTATGTTAGAAAATAGTGAATGAGATGTTGCTTATTTACTAGATAATTTACTTTTTGCTCATGATTTATGTCAAGCTGCATCTGTGGGAGCTGGAATTTAAATACCAAACATCTTATGAAATTTATTTGTATTAAACAAAGCCACCTTAAATATTTTGGATACATAAACTTCTCTTATGAAAACATCTTTTATATTTACAACTAAATTATAATAAGTTTAGGCCTTAACATATTTTGTATTAAATTCAGATTTTATTCTAAACAGGTAATTTTTAAAAAGAAAAACTTACTATAATTTAAATAACAATTAAAAAAAAAATCCAACGTAAATATTAAAAAATTTATGTTTAAAAAAAAATCATTGATTTTTATCTGTCCTGGACTTTTGCGTGCTGCCAGCGTGGCTCTTGGTGCCATACACTTTGGTAGGGTGACCAGACAGCAAGTGTGAAAAATTTGGACAGGGGTGGGGGGTAATAGGAGCCGACATAAGAAAAAGACCCAAAAATTGGGACATCTGGTCACCCTACACTTTGGGTTCCACTGTGCTTGGGTTGGGTTGGCAAATTGCTTCCCTTGCTCTGCTTCTCTCCCTAGGTTCAGTATGCTTCCAGTGGCTTCCTAGAGAAGAACAGAGACACTTTGCCAGCAAATATCCGGGGTCTCTTCATCAACAGTGTCACCCCACTACTGAGTGTGCTGTTCACAGGTTAGTCCCCCTGTTGCCGTGGGTGCCCGGTGGGTAGTGTCACCAGTGATCCCTGAGTTCATGGACTGTGCTTAGGGGAGAGAATCAATCAGATTAGAATCCAGTAAACAAACACTGCTGTAAGAGCTGTGCACTGGCCAGGAGGCCGTGCCTGTGACACAGACATCTGCTTAATATTGGACCGTGTCCCCTTCAGTTGCATCCCCTTCACAGTTCCTCCAGCCCAAGGTGTCTGTCTTAGACTGATTTCAGAGTAGCAGCCGTGTTAGTCTGTATCCGCAAAAAGAAAAGGAGTATTTGTGGCACCTGAGAGACTGAGCTTATGCTCAAATAAATTTGTTAGTCTCTAAGGTGCCACAAGTCCTCCTTTTCTTTTTGTCTTAGACTGAGTAACTGAATGTTTGCGCACCACACTGATCACAGCTACCCAGATGCAAAGTATTATCCCAGCCCTCCCATGGCAAAAGCATAAGTGCAGCAGCCACGCTTGTGCTGCCCTTAGTGCACCGTCTCACTCCTGCTCTGCCAGGGCCTACAGTTCCAGAAGGGTTTTGTGGAGGCTACAGCATCAGTGCTCCTAGGTAAGCAGGCTTCCCTCTCATGGTCTGGGAGCCATGACTAAATCTGTCAGCAAACTATAGAGCCTGCTGAGCAGTTAGGCCCCAGTTTATTGGAGGGGGAGGATAAAAGCAAATCCAACCCTGACACATTACTCCTGAGGGAATTCTGCAATAAAAAATTAAAAATTCTGTGCACAATATTTTAAAATGCTGCAAAATTCTGCATATTTTATTTGTCAAAATAACACAATATAATCACACCAGTTTCAATTATTTTTGGTCATTTATTTCAAAATACCTGTCAACAAGTATCTCTGTAACAATACAGATAACAACAAAGATTCAGGAAATGTTTTTTGTCAAATAAATTCCTTACTAGGCATTTTAATACAGAACTCTGAGTAATAATTCATTTAAATGACCGTACAGAACCGTATTTCCCACACCCCTCAGAAGCAGTGCAAAGGCTTGGGGGTGTCAGAGGCAATGGAGGAGTTGAGGGACAGGGAAGTAAATTGCTGGGAAGGAGCCTGGGTGTGAACTTGGAGGGTTGTTGGGTATGGGTGGGGAAAGTATGGAACAAGTTTTTTGGGGGGTCAGGGAGGGATTGTTAAGGAGCTTCCTCGATGGAGACCCTGGCTGACCTCTAGCCTTTCTCGTCAGGCATATCTTCCCCTGTTCCCATGTGTTCTTGCACCCCCTGCCCACATGTGTCCCTCCACCCACACTCATACACCCACTGCCCCTATCCCCATGTGGCCCTGCACCCCTCCCCCAGTCCCTTTGTGTTCCTGTACCCCCTCCCCCTGTCTGGATGTGTGTCTGGGCCTCCACCCAGCCACCCCCCTGTTCCCATGTGGCTCTGTACCCCCTCCCCCATCACCATGTGTCTCTGTATGCCCACCCAGCCACTCCCCTATCCCCCTTCCCCCTGTCCCCATGTGTCTCTGTACACCCACTCAGCCACCCTCTGTAGCTCTGCACCCCCTCCCCCATCACCATGTGGCCCTGCACCTCCACTCCCATTCAGCCCCTTTCCCAGTCTGTCCTCCCCCACTAGACCTTATGAGCCCCTGTCTGACCCCCACCACATCCCACGCTGTCTGTCTCCCCTTAGCCCCGTCTCCTGACCTGGCCTGACAGGCACAGCAACCCTAAGTGTCCTGTCGTGGGCAAAAGGCAGAACTGCAGCAACATTTCAGCAGAAGCTTTTTTCTGTGCAAAAAAATAAAAATGTGTGGCTCATTAATTACACATGCACGCAGTAGCGCAGCATTCCCCCAGGAGTAACACATACTCATGGTAGTGGAAGCATCCCTCAAAGGCTATCCTGTAGATGGTGGAAGTGTCTCCCAGGGTCTGGCTACTTGGAGGTCTTGTTTAGCTCTGAAATAAAGGAGGCAGTCTTTTCATTTCTCCTGCACAGGTAATGCCCACCTCAGCCCCAAGACCTGGCATGACCTGTTCTTTGTAAAAGCTGCTTGTAGTCAGATGCTCCTCTCTCCAAGTGGCAACACATGATTAATGCGCACCTTTCAGCTAAAGGCTAATGTTTATCTTTTCAGTATCAAGGGCTGTGTGGTGTCTGTAAAGGAAATGTGGCCTTGGCCACTTTGTCATTTTCATTATGGCTGGAAAGCTGGACAAGTTATATCAATTCCAAGAATCAGCCATTTCTTCACCCTCTTGCCCTAGATCAAATAGCCCACCTCCCTGGGGCCAGTGCAGGATTGTCCCCTATTATACATTCACTAGTGTTAATTTTCAAAGAGAAGCAATGGGGCTTTCATTTCCCTGGAGACACTGTTTCTTCCATGAAGGCCATATCCCCTTTTGCATCTTACTCTAGGGGAGCTTTTCCTGATTTCCAACCTGTATCTAATGTTAATTAACATTAGGGCTGTCAATTAATTGCAGGTTTCAGAGTAACAGCCGTGTTAGTCTGTATTCGCAAAAAGAAAAGGAGTACTTATGGCACCTTAGAGACTAACCAATTTATTTGAGCATGAGCTTTCGTGAGCTACAGCTCACTTCATCGGATGCATACTGTGGAAACTGCAGAAGACATTATATATCGCAGTTAATTCCCGCAATTAACTCAAAAAATTAATTGCGATAAAAAAAGATTAATTGCAGTTTTAATCACACTGTTAAACAGTAGACTACCAAATGAAATTTATTACATTTTTTGGGTGTTTGTCTACATTTTCAAATATATTGATTTAAATTATAACACAGAATACAAAGTGTACAGTGCTCACTTTATATTATTTTATTACAAATATTTGCACTGTAAAAATGATAAAAGAAATAGTATTTTTCAATTCATCTCATACAAGTATTGTAATACAATCTCTCTTTTGTGAAAATGCAACTTACAAATGCAGATTTTTTTTGTTATATAATTGCACTCAAAAACAAAACAATGTAAAACTTTAGTGCCTACAAGTCTCCTCAGTCCTACTTCTTGTTCAGCCAATCGCTAAGACAAACAAGTTTGTTTATATTTACAGGAGATATTGCTTCCCTCTTCTTATTTACAATGTCACCTGAAAGTGAGAACAGGCGTTCGCATGGCACTTTTGTAGCCGGCATTACAAGGTATTTACTTGCCAGATTTGGCCACCATTCCAGAGGACATGCTTCCATGCTGATGACGCTTTTTTAAAAAAATAATGTGTTAATTAAATTTTGACTGAACTCCTTGGGGGAGAATAGTATGTCTCCTGCTCTGTTTTACCCACATTCTGCCATATATTTCATGTTATAGGAGTCTCAGATGATGACCCAGCACATTTTCATTTTCAGAACACTTTCACTGTAGATTTGACAAAATGCAAAGAAGGTACCAATGTGAGATTTCAAAAGATAGCTACAGCACTCGACCCAAGGGTTAAGAATCTGAAATGCCTTCCAAACTCTGAGAGGGATGAGGTGTAGAGCATGCTTTCAAAAGTCTTAAAAGAGCAACACTCGGATGAGAGAAACCACAGAACCCAAACCACCAAAAAAGAAAATCAACCTTCTGCTGGTGTGATCTGACTCAGATGATGAAAGTGAACATGCATCGGTCTGCACTGTTTTGGATCATTATCGAGCAGAACCCGTCATCAGCATGGACTCATGTCCTCTGGAATTGTGAAGCATGAAGGGACATATGAATCGTTAGTGCATCTGGCATGTAAAGATTTTGTGACGCCGGCTACAACAGTGCCATGCGAATGCCTGTTCTCACTTTCAGGTGACATTGTAAATAAGAAGAGGGAAGCAATATCTTCTGCAAATGTACACAAACTTGTTTGTCTGAGTGACTGGCTGAACAAGAAGTAGGACTGAGTGGACTTGCAGGCTCTAAAGTTTTACATTGTTTTATTTTTGAATGCAGTTTTTGTACATAATTCTACATTTGTAAGTTCAACTTTCATGATAAAGAGATTGCAGCCGGTGTCAAGTGGAGTGCCCCAGGGGTCGGTCCTGGGGCCGGTTTTGTTTAATATCTTCATAAATGATCTGAAGGATGGTGTGGATTGCACTCTCAGCAAATTTGCGGATGATACTAAACTAGGAGGAGTGGTAGATACGCTGGAGGGCAGGGATAGGATACAGAGGGAACTAGAAAAATTGGAGGATTGGGCCAAAAGAAATCTGATGAGGTTCAATAAGGATAAGTGCAGGGTCCTGCACTTAGGACGGAAGAACCCAATGCACCGCTACAGACTAGGGACCGAATGGCTAGGCAGCAGTTCTGCGGAAAAGGACCTAGGGGTGACAGTGGACGAGAAGCTGGATATGAGTCAGCAGTGTGCCCTTGCTGCCAAGAAGGCCAATGGCATTTTGGGATGTATAAGTAGGGGCATAGCGAGCAGAACGAGGGACGTGATCCTTCCCCTCTATTCGACATTGGTGAGGCCTCATCTGGAGTACTGTGTCCAGTTTTGGGCCCCACACTACAAGAAGGATGTGGATAAATTGGAGAGAGTCCAGCGAAGGGCAACAAAAATGATTAGGGGTCTGGAACACATGACTTATGAGGAGAGGCTGAGGGAACTGGGATTGTTTAGTCTGCAGAAGAGAAGAATGAGGGGGGATTTGATAGCTGCTTTCAAAAAGTAGTTGAAAGCACACCTGAGAGGTGGTTCCAGAGAGGATGGTTCTAGACTATTCTCAGTGGCAGAAGAGGACAGAACGAGGAGTAATGGTCTCAAGTTGCAGTGGGGGAGGTTTAGGTTGGATATTAGGAAAAACTTTTTCACTAAGAGGGTGGTGAAACACTGGAATGCCTTACCTAGGGAGGTGGTAGAATCTCCTTCCTTAGAAGTTTTTAAGGTCAGGCTTGAGAAAGCCCTGGCTGGGATGATTTAATTGGGGATTGGTCCTGCTTTGTGCAGGGGGTTGGACTAGATGACCTCCTGAGGTCCCTTCCAACCCTGATATTCTATG